TTTTTTTTTTTTTTTTTTTGGAGAGGTGGGGATGGAAGGCAGAAAGCCAAACCCACCAAGGAATCAGGTATCTAACTTTTCACATCTTCAGAGGAAATGAAAAAAACAAGAGAGAGAAAACAAATAAGTTATCTCTTGTGTTTTCTTTCCTTCCTTCTTCTATCAGTCCTCACTTCTCATTTTGTACCTTAGTGAATGTTCAAGCTGCTTACGGTTTTCCTTACCAGGCTCAGTCAACAGACTGGTGTGGTGTTTCGTTTTGTTTTCATCTCTTCGTATAGACTTACTTAAATTTTCTCTCTAAATAAGTCTTTGTCCTCTCCCTCCCCAATGTAGCTGATGGTTAAATTTTTTTTTCATATTTTTCCCTAAGCAGTCACCATTTGCACCTGCGTCATCATATCAGTATCCTTCAAGAGTCTGAAAATAAGCTCAAAGGCCTGTTGCTCAAAAGAAAAGTAAGCCAATGTATTCGGCTCATGCTTTTAAAGTACGTGCATGGACAAAGAGACACAGGCAGAAGGTAGCACTACTGCATCTACGTTTTACACCATGCTTGGTTCAGTTCCATTTGCAAATTAACAAAAGCAGAACAACAGTATCCTGAGAAATTGCACAGTTCTGTTTCCCAAAAATCGATCATGGAAGAAGGGAAGAACAGGGAAAAGACGACAAAGTTTTCTTAGCCAAACCTAATCTTTCATAAAAATATGGATTAGAATTATGTCCATACCTGCATCAATGCCAACAGGCCCAAATATCTCTTTCAACTGGAGCGCCAGTTCAGGAGGCAATGTCAGCTCTAGGCAATCTATATTGAAGGCTACAGGCGGTACTGGTAAAGGGCTTTGTATCTTGGTTCTATCTTCATCCCAATTTAGAGTTTCACTTTCTTCTTTACCAAGTATCTCCCTGGAACTCCACTGGGTTTCTTTACCAGGTTCCAGTTCTTTATCACTTGTAGGAGCCTTCTGAGGGGTCTGATCCACTTCCAGCAACAAAGCAGTTGTATTATTTACTTTGGAATTTTCCACATAGCTTTCTGAAGGGTTACTGTCACTTTCGCTATTTAATTTGAATTTCAAACTGGTAGAAGTTCTGTTAAGACCATGAGGTAAAGTCACAGGTACACACAAACCTACCTCAAGCTGAGAGCCTGACTGATTATTTTTTGTTTCCTCAACAGTACTGATAAGCTGCCCGTCTGTTTTCTGCATTTCTGAAGCGGACTGCTCAGTGATGTCTGCTGCTGAGCTAACTGCATCAATTCCAGGGGCTGTATCACTGGAATTTTTGTGTTCCACTGAATCATTCACAGAGACAGCAGTTAACGAGTCGGATATATCAGCATCTGTCACAATTACCTTGGTAGTCCTACCTTCTGCAATGCTGATTGCTGAGTTCTTGTTTTCTGAAGGCTCAGAAATACCATCAGCCCCAATTATTTGCTGGGTTTGTTTGGAATTTTTGAGATTTTCACCACAGTTGGCATTCGCCCCGAAATCAAGGTCTGTGACAACTGTCTCAGCTTCTCTTACCTGCAAGCATTCAGTATCAACATCTTTGCATAACTTCTCATCAGAGTCTAACAGCAGACCTGTGGCCCAGTCAATGTCTTTGTTACATCTCTCATACAAGTCTTTCAGAGCTTCAAATGAAAAAGACGTGAAGAGCTTGCACAGCATATTTAATTTTTCAGACTCTTCAATATTGATAAGTTCACTTTCCTCCACAAATGTACTTTTATCATACGTAACTCGATAGGGTATTTTCTCTGGAGAGTCTGAGGCACTATCTACATCTTTGGGTTTGAAGCCATCTAGTCTGCCATGTAACACTTTGGTAGCCTCAGGAAAAAGCATTTTCTTTTCTAATCTCCACAGGAGAGCAAAATCTTGTGACTCAGTCTGTGAATGGCTACTTGCTTGTCTACATGAGCATGTGTCATGTTTCTCTTCTGCCAAGTTAAGCACAGACAACTGCTCCTCTGCTTTGGGAGGAGGCAAATTGTTGTTTGTAAAAGTGAGGGCTAATTTGTGATGTTTCCTCATTCTCTTATTTTGCTGGGTTTTTTTCTCACTGACTGTTTCACTAGCTACTGTTTCAGGCTGGTGAAAATGCAATCTCTTTGCATCCTGCAGCTCCGAGCTGTCCACAGTTGTCCCACGAAGCACATCTACTGTGTCAAGAGCATTTCTATTAATGTCACCTTTAGTATTTCTACCCTCATCTGATTGACTCAGACTTGTCTTTCTCACTCTCCTTGACCTTTGCTGTCTCTGTTCTAAAGAGCCTGAGAAAGGCCAATGTCCTGCCATTTGCGATTCTGGTGCAATTTTATCTGAACTAACAGACAACTTTTCTTCCTCCAGTCCTTTTTCAACTGTGCAGGTATCAGGTAGGCCCGCTTGTTCCTTACCCAGTTTAAGAAGAGACTGACTGGGAGTTCTACCTTCCTTATCACTCTGATTCAGAGAAGATTTTTCTATTCTTCTAGGTCTTTTGACTCTCTGTCCCATTGTTTGTTCTACAGGCCAATCCCCCACAAAGTTCAGTAACTCTAGTTTTCCTGCTGTGTCCAAAGCTGAACTGCTTGGTTCAATTACATCATTTCTTTGTGTTAATTCTGGTTCTGCGTGGATTTCACTATATTGTTCAACTTCACTTTGAACTTTGACAACACTGTTATCACTATGTTCAACTCTTTCAGAAAAAGGCATTTGCAAACATACAGTCCCTTCAGAGCTGGTCACATCAACCTCATCCATTTCTGTTTCAGTAATTCTTTCTGTTTTTTCTCCTTTTTCCTCTTTTTTCTCCAAGGGCAGTACTTTTTCTTCACAACCTGACAAGTAAATATCCAAGTAATCTTGAACAGTGTTGTTCTCAGAACTGCATTCCACTGAGTTCTTTTCCAGTTCTTTTTCCTCCTTCTGAAAACATTCAGGAGCAGAGTTATTATCTAATGTTAAAGAAGCAGCAGACAAGGGTTTTTTATCCTCAGCTATTTCAAGAGGCTCCGGTTTAGAAGCAAAAGGTCTTTCTTCCTGTACCTCAGAATGGCTCTCTCTCTGCCTGAAAGACAAGTTGGAATGAAAGATATACCCATCTGAAACGTTTTTAAGCATCTGTCCTTATTCACATTTTTAATTCTGACTTGGCTGTTTAACATATTCAAGATATAGATCAAAAGCTGCTTTTTAGAACACATTGTAATCATCCAGAGGAAGAACATGCATGAAATCTTCACACTCTCCCACCCTGAAATCTTGTGAGAGAAAAACAAATTTAAGACGACTTAGCACAAACCTCAGTACTCCTTTATTAAAAAAAAAAAAAGGGGAGGAGAATTTTTTTTAAAAAAGCAAAATACCAAGTAAAGCAGAACTTTACTTGGTAAGTATTTCTTTAACTTCAGCAGGGGGCTAGGAGTACCTTCTCAGTAGTTTATCTTTTCCCCTTTCCTAACATTCAGTTACATACAGAAGCACTCTCCTGCCTGACGTTTCCTCCCTCAGATCAACAAACCTGGTAACTATGCTTATTTAATGAACGTTACACGATCCTGATCACTAGATTCTAAACAAGTCTAGAAATTAACCAGCAAGTGGCCTGCTACTTCTTGTCATAATGTCTTTGACGTTCTGCTACATGCCATTAATCACCAGAGCCCACGTCACTTGAAATACATTAAGCATGTAAAAATGAATGAGATGGTCAACATAACTACAGTAATATCTGATTTCCTATGCATTTTTATAATGCATGTACAGTATTATTAACATTAGCCACACAAAATAATCCTGTATATGCACCAACATAATTCTGCATTAAATATACTCCACAAGACCAAGTAGATGACCCGTTCCTACTGCACTAAGAATCCCTCTTTTACGACAAACGCATCATATTATACCAACACACAGACTCAGAAATACTAATTTGCCTGCATATGAGACTAATTCTTTCTGAAAAGCTTTTTACAGATTTTAAGTGTCTTTAATTACAGTATAGATCCAACAGCACTTTTCTAAGACAAGAACAAGCAAGACAGCTCAGATTAGCTTGCTGAAAGGTGAAGCTGCATTACTGAAAGATTTTCAAAAAGCAGTGGAAAGTTGACTAGATCCCTTAATTGTTCATTTCTGAATTCTTTCAATTTTTAAAAATTAAGGAAAAAAAAGTGTGATGCATCTTTTCAGCTAATTTTTGGAATGCATTAGCCAGGCTCCACTGCTACAAAGTTTTTATTCTTTTATTTGAGAATACAAAGCTAATAAAATAATCTAACCTAGAGCTCTCTTCCTGACAAGAATCTTCACTCCAGCCAGCAGCTTCTGATTTGTCTGGGACTGAAGAATTCAAGATAGAACTAACAGAAAGGCAGCGTTCATACCGTTCCAACATTCTTTTGATCTTTTCTTTAGATACACCATGCACGTTCCGCCTGGATTTAAAAAAAAGAAAAGAAAAAGAGAGAGAGAGAAGGAAAGAGAGAGAGAAAGAGCAAGATTAAAAAAACATTTCAGATTTGTATTTTTAAAGAGACTAAAGAGAAGAGAAAAAAATTCAGTGTGCAGTAAGACTGACCAGAGAACTCACGGGGCCAATGCAAAAGCTGAGACAGCAATTCTTTCTCTATCTGTGCGCTAAGTCATTTAGAACAGGGAGTCTCAGACAAACCGCTGCTCCACTTGCCTTCTCCACTCCATCTGGTGGCCCTTTTCTGCAAGGGGATGTTTTGCTTAACACTAAAATCTAAAAATGGCACCAATAATGCATCTTCTTCAAATAAGTATCAGAAGCACACCATAGCAGATACTGGCTCCAAGGCGGGGAGTGAGACTGGGTAGGGACAATTTCTAATTCAGTCTTCCTTCTCTAGAACAACGCTAAGAGTTCTTAGGAAGCTAAGCTAAGAACTCCTTGAGGAAAATCTATTCACCTGTTATTCACGACAACTTCCTTTGGCTAGGAATTTCCACCGATTTTGTTATACACCAGCTAGCAACGTCATCAGCAGTGGTTCTGCATAGAACAAGTGAAACCTGCCTATGATGACAAAACAGGAATTGAAGGTACAGAAGAAAGTCCCAATTGAGTTTTAGCCATAGAAGGAAGGAGGACTTTCTTTCCATCTTACCTAATTGCACTTTACCCCAAAATGATTCTCACTTGCCCCTACTTTCTGAAAACAAGGTCTGTGTTAGTAAGAAGTAGTATGTATGTTGAAGGTTGCCCAGAACAACTGACGGGTGGATTATGAATGATCCAAAGCTACTCTCAGCTCTCTGAAATATTTGAGTGTCTCATCTAGGCTTGAGAGTGAGGAGCTCCTGCTCTTTAAAGCAGCAAGATATTGCCAGTCAACAGGAAGCAGGTATGGTAGAACATAAATCTATCATACCATCCTTGAAAGGTGAACAACTTTTAAACTAAGCATGGAAATTCAAATGACGACACATAATGTGAGCTTATGATAAAAATCACAGAATAAGTTACATTGAAAGGGACCTCTGGAGGTCACATTGTCCCACCTCCTACTCAGAGCAGGTCCAACTAGATCAGGCTGTACAGAGCCTTACCTGTCAAGTTTTGAACATCTCCAGGATCGAGAGTCCACAAATTTTCTGGGCAACCTGATTCAGCACTCGACGGCCCTCAGAGTTAAAAATTTTATTCTTATATGTAATTGAATTTTCCCACGTTCCAACTTGGGTCTGTTTCCTCTTGTCCTATCCCTGCATGCTTAGAGACCTATTTAATCTTCTCTATAACCTCCCAATAGCTAGCTGAAGACAGCAATACGATCCTTCCTTAACCTTTTCTTCTTTATGCTGAACCAACTATTCTGCTCAAAACTGTATCATCTGCAAATCTGCTAAGAGTGCACTCCATCACATCATCCACGTCAAAAAAATTAAACAGTACTGATCCCAGAATTCATCCCTGAGAGACACCAGCCTCCTCTTGGACTGTTTTTAAATGACTGATCACAACTTCTCTGAATCCGGCATCCAGCCAATTTGCTAACTACCTTGTTATCCATTTATAAAGTTCACAATTCACCTATTTGGCCCTAAGCATACTATGAGAGACAGTGTAGAAAGTGCTGATCCACAGGGGTTTTTTTCCCCCTCTCAGTCCACGATGTACTGATTGCCCTATACTAAGTGGCAGCAGAAATGTTCCAAGGCAACAGACCACCTGGATACAAATACAGACACAACCTGACATCATTTTTGCAACTTCAGGATCCCAAAGGAGCAGCCACTGTAACTTAAACGCAAAAGAGCAGTCATGAAAGCATTACATAATCACTATTAATAATAGTCAGTTTCTTTTGTATGCAGTTAAAGTGATGGGACAAAAATCTCATAATACTGTATAAAATCCTGCAAAAGTTAATATGGCATGCAAAAAAAAAAATAGAAAGCTACTTTTTAATCACAAAAGTCCTCATTGATCTCTTGCTACCTCATGAGCCACTGTACTAAGTGGCACATTTTTAAAAATACAAGTTTACAGAAAAAGAAACATGTACAATCTAATAAGACATTTTCCTTCATATTCTTACCTTTCAAGTTCTTTCGGTTTAAACTTCCACCAAGTTTCTGGCTCTCGGAACACGACTTTGTATTTGAACTGCTGAGCCTGAATAAAACAGATATAAAACAAATCAAAGACAAATTAGCCATTTTTTTAATGGAAAAGCACATAACATACAAAAAAAACAGGTAGCTTTAACAAAGCAGGTTTTGCATTTCTCAAAACAAATTAAATATTTGGAGTGAGATATTGTTGTTTGGTGTTCATTTCTGATTATATAAATGGAGATTTTTCAAATCACATATATGATTTATATGCATCTCTTACCGTAAGCTTAAATGCGTACCATGATCACAGTAAAGTATCAGTCACATGCAGGCAGATAGATACCAGATCTAAATAAGTAACTCCAGTTAACGTTCAGCCCCGCCACACACACACAAAAAACCATACTGTTTACAGTCTTTTTTTTTTTTTAATTTATTGATATAATCCTTTTAAATGTTCTACCTCCTCCCCAAGTCAGAGAGCAGAGTATCTCCTCTTTCCAGGTATGCTACAGGCATCTCTACAGTCTGTCAAAGACAGAGACAAACTCACTGACCAGATGCAAGCCAATTCCAAAACAGAAGTAATGCAGTTACACTAATGCAGCAATAGTGGTCTAGTCTCATCATGAGAGAAAAGCAGCCCAAAGTTTAATCAGGACAAATACTGCAAGTACTATGCCTCTTCCTTCCATTCCTGTTTTTGGAAAAACTTATCACCCTACCTAAGCCTGCATTTCCCAGAAGAACTTATGTTATACCTTTCAGTATACAGCAAAATCAGAGACTTTTTGTCTTTCTGACAAACCTGTTCGTTTGAGTAATATTAACAGAAGCAAATATAATAAAATCAGAAATTTTATTAATAAAAATGATCTGGATGCAAGTCCCACTGTTCACTAATCCTGCAGAACACGTAGAGCATCTGCTCAAAAGTTGTCCGTTCTACGACCTGATACATTCTGGCGTCTTCCTGCGTAGGCTCCTGCATGCGTGTAGGAAAAATCCCAGATGATCTACTTTAAAAAAGCAATTCAGGGCTCTTGAGAAGTCCAGCCTTGCTGAATGAAATCCATTCATCAACAAAACTAGTACAGCATGAGCAGCAGTAGCAGAAGCCTCCAGCACTATCCAAAAATACGTCTAAATCCAGAGTAGGAGAAAATCACAGAAAGGCAAGACACTTACTGAGGTACTATCAGTTCTCACCTCAGTTCATTCCTTTGCTAAATCCAACTGGAAACCTACCCATTGTTTTCAGCATAATGATTAATGAATGTTTAGTCTATCCTCCTCTCATTCCCAACACCCTCACGCACACATGGTACTTATTTAAAACAAAACTTAGATGCCATAATATTATGGAAAGGTATAACATTTTATGCTAAAGGTATAACATTCCCTCTAATACTTTTTTCCTATTAATCAGAATCAAGTTTATTCAATAATGCAGTTCTGTAAACAAAAAATATATATAAAAACTACCAACCAAAATGACGAACAATCAACAGCAAAATAAGAGCTAGACTCTAAAAGCGCTGATATACATTTAGAGATGATTAAGTGAAAAGGAAAGATTATCCAGAAACTGGAGTAGGAGAACAGAGTTCACCAAGCTATATACATCATTAAATGCAACCCTGAAAGTTAAATTGAGATTGTATGTGCTTAGTACAAAATAAAAGCAAGCCACTTTTTGCTACACTACTAATAAAATATTGCAGGTACATTAGTTTGATTATATCACTTCAATAAAAATGATTAACCATATCTGTGTATTTTCAAGCAAGACAACATCTGATAACTGCTTTTGAAAATTCTCATCGATAATAGTTCCCTATAACAACGCAACTTTAAGGCACAGAATTTCTGACAGTAGGTTATATTTATTCTCAAATAAATACAATTTTGATCCTCAGATTAATCTTTAAGGAACGAAGCTCCCCTCACAAATATTAGCCTTCCCGCTGGTCAGTTCATAGTCTCATCCTAAATTTGACATAGAAGCAAACAAGACTGAGCTTCTGAGTTTCACAGAGCATCAAATATACAATCAGCGCTAATTAATATGAGTAATAACAAAAAACAGCTTACAATCTTGCTGGTAATATACAGAGAGGAACAGAATTCAGTTTCTTCTACCAAAGTTGTATTTGCTTCCAAGTACCATGCACTTGGATTTGTCACTTAGAAACTAGGCCAGGTCAACACAACACTCAGGCATGCAGAGTATGACATGATGTAATATAATACTGTATGATACTTTTCTGACTCCAGGCTATATCCTCCCCTGTGGAAGGGAAATAAGACCTGGACAGAAAACAGTAACTGCATTTTAAAACATATGTTCTCATGCTGGTCAACAATCCCCTTTCACATTGCTCAAGTTATCATACTAACCAAAGCAACATAAGGCTTCATCTCCCATGCTTGTATGTTTGTGTTGTCTATTATTATAGGAGACATGCTCTTTTCAAATGCTTCTTTGGCTGAAAGACACATGCGTACAAAAGAATGTGATATAGTTAACCTCTTGGTAATAAAGTAGACACGTAACATTTTCAATCAGTCCTCTAAATTTGTATTAATTTTTTTTCAAATAAATATTCCATAATGATTAACCACTGTGTAAATAACTCTTGCCATAGCTTGAACTTTCTGTTCCAAAGGCTTTTTTATTTTAGAAATCCCCCACCCTCACATGGAAAACTACTGAGATATGGCATTATACTTCTGAATTAACATATGTATGATAATCAAGGAATGAAAATGTAGATGTAAAATGCACCAAGATGACTAATCAGTAAATTAAACTAAAAAAAACTACATGATCACCTTAAAGTGGACTTCTTTGTTGCATACAAAATTCTTGGCTTTATAACAGTCTTAAGATTAGTCCACTCTGTAAACTGTATAAAATATGAAAAAAATCAAAAGAATTATTGTAATTTTTTAAAATATACAGTAGGAAAATGTTTAGAATCACTACCTTTGTGATAGAGCATCGTCTTTCTGTAGCTACGTTACAATGAGTCTGAACAATCAAAGTTATCATTGAATCATACATTTCTTATTAACCCATTTTTTCGCAGGTTAGAAATTTGACAGCAGGAAAGTGATCATGGTTCAAACTTGGCAAATAAAAGCTTGAAAATAGCTGTTTCATGGAGAGTTTAGTGGAAACCAACATCAAAAAAAAACACACTGATTACAGTAAAAACATCATTCATCATTTCTTCTGTCTTGTTCCTACAGTTTTTGTTTTAAATTTGTCAACACTTGCTGAAGAGAAAAAAAATTAAGAGAAGGAAAATTCTGTGTAGGTGTTATTTGTATCAACATGCTCACTACCTATTGCATATGCATATATAATTGCTCATCTTAATCTTAGAAGAAATATTATTGGGAGATGGCAAAGACTAGCCCTTCAGAAATGGGACACAACCCAAAATACATACCATGACAGAATCTGAAGAAAAAAAAAAAATCCTTTGACATAGACACCGGCATTTGTAAGCGCCTTGTAATAACAAGTCACTCCTGAGTTTGTGCTCATATTCTTTCTCCACTTATTAAAAATAATCCTAAAATAGGATAAATGCTCATCCTGTGACACAAGCACTACAGGACAGGCAGCTTTTTAAACAGCATTCAGACCCTGAACTGTAAATAAGCAAGCTAATCTCTGCTTCATTTCTCACCTCGTTTCCTGTTCCAGTCATGTGCTTCCCCCAAGCAATTGGCATCATAATGGTATTGTCCATGTTTATAAAAGTAATCATCAGTACTAAGAATGATTCCACCTGGGTTATCCTCAAGCAAAGCCCTGTGAAAGACCAAGAGGTAAACAGTTTTTCCCCCTTCACCTCTCCATCCAATATATTGCTCCCACGCATGTATTTAGACTCTTGCACAAAAACAGCATGGCTGATTACCAGGAACAGAAAGAGCAAATTCACACGAGGAAAGGGTCATCCTCGGGGCAAAGATGAACTATAATCACTTCCCTCTTTCTCCTAAGCTGAAGATATCTAGGGGAAACAGCTGCTAGAGGCTTTCCTAAAGTCTCATTTCAAGAAACCAGATTTTTCCATCTATGTCTAGTGACATACTTTTGCCCTGGCAGACATGCGTACAGTCTTGATTGAACCAAATGTTTCACATGCCAACCACAGAAGTCTAAATACAATCAAAGCTTTTGGGGAGTTAGGGAAAAAACCAAAAAATCAAGGGTTTGAGCTGGCCAGTTCAACAAACACTACTTGCACAAATTCTCTTAACAGTATTTTAAGAATTTAAAAGAATTTTCCCAGCGTGGAAAGGAAATTTCTGCCCAGGCAGACTTGGTGTTATCTCCATCCGTTTAATTGGAAGAAAACACCTAAATTGGATAGGGACTGGAAGAACACAGCAGAGCCCAATACTACCGCACCAATCCTCTGCTGGCATAAACTTCACTCCAGATCTTTAGGCCAGTGACAGAAGATAGAGACAACACCTCTTATTTCAGTCTCCGCTAGAGGTCAAGGAGCTGCAAGTAACTTAGCAACTACTATTACACACGATGCTGCCCGTACCATGTGATTGCCAATCAGGGTTTAAGCATAACTATTTACAAATGTCAGAAAATTGTCTATGCCTGCACTAAATCCCACAAGACAATTAAGCAACTTCTTTTATAAGCTCACAATATAGATGTTCTACCTTGCCAAAAATGTTTTTCCTGATCCTGGAACACCTCTGAGAAGAACAAGTACTTGACCTATAAGGTGCATCTTTTTTCTCATCACGTGACAGACAGGTGGCTGCTGTGCTTGCGAGAGGTTCAGTTTTGAGTTTCTGTCTTGATTTCCCCATACCTTCAAAGAAGGATTGCTATCCCACGCATTTGAAACCACTGGAGAGGAAAAAAAAAGTCCTTTTGTTTCAGAAGTCTTATAGTCTGAAATAGGTCTCCACTGGCCTGGACTAACAGCCACAGGAGTTACAAAGCTGTGACTTCCACTGGACGGATAAAACTGAGGAGCCATGAGATTCCAATGTTGCTGAGTTTGACATAATGGAGTAGAAAAATTTAAGTTATATCTCTGCTGAGATTGCTGAAAATCTGCAAGTTTTGGTGTTTTTAAACTGGATCTTTCAAGAGAGCCATTCACCTCCAGGAGAAAAGTGCTCTGGTGGCTGTTGCAGGCAGTCATTACCTCTTTGTGCTGTTCCAGGCACTTTGAATTAGGATTTTCAGCGGCAGCTACTATAAATTCCAGAGGACTCTGGGAGGACTGACCAGAAGGAGCGGTCACACTTTCATGCTCTGAAACAGTATTTTGTGTCTGATCAGAATTTCCACATGACAAGTCTCCACTCAACTGCTTATACATTTCTGGAGCTACATCATGAACATGCGTTTCTGACAAACCAGGATCTCCCAGTGTCTGTGCAAAAGGGTCCAATTCAGCTGGTGAACTAACTTGTGTGTGGATGCTCAGCTCACTCATAGGTGGCTGAGAACAGCAGAAGTTTTCTAAATTTTCATTATTTGGCTCCATTTGCTGTGGAAAGAGCAAGGCATTGCAACCTGCATCAGGTTTTTCCCACTCAGAAAATTCATTAAAACCACCATGGTTCCATGAACCATCATGTTCCACAGTGTGTTTATGTATGAATTGGTCATTTGCAGAATTAGGCAATTCATCACTCAAGCTGTATCTCTCAAAAGCATTCTCTATTAAGGAATCCAGTTCTTCAGTCAGCTGTACATCATGTGACAGGAGCTCTTCTGTTTCTTCAGAATTATTTTCTTCTGCAGTACTTTCCCTCGCTCTTTCATTTGTGACAGACCTCTGCTGATTAACAAGAGCTACTGATGACAGCACTGAATCAAAACCTGAGTTTTTTGAAGATGTCACTCCTTTCGCATGGGTGGACAGCTCTAGCAGGTAATCCATGGCATTTTCTACTGTTGAATAAGGCAAAGAGAATAAAAAATGGTCAACTGAAGCAACATAACCTGATGTAAATACTATTTTTACATCAAGCACTTAAAACAATTCAAAAGACTGTCAGACAGCTTACCAATTCACATTTTAATAAACCTTCCACAAACCTCTTGACCTCTTTCTCACTAGAGGTAAAGACAAAAACTGAATAGAGATATATTGCAAAATGATAACCTGATAAGCAGAAAAGTGACTAAAGAAATATTAAGTTTAACTGGAGTGGGACAGAACAGATGTTTAAGTGGGTGCTTACTTCTAACTCTTATCACATAGGAGAAATAATATGAAATTAACTGAAAGATATTTCAGTTAAGAAAGGATTAAAGAGATATAAGTATAAAAATTACTTTAATTATGACCAGGCTCAACTGAAAGTGTCATAACTAACAGTCTAAAAAATCCAGTATCTGCATTAATTCTTTGTAAAGTCATTAAACAAAGTATAGATTGCCTCTGATCAGCCTGAACAAAATGAAAACCTGGGATATGCAGTAGCTGAGACCTAAAACTAAGCTCATGTTCTTCTGAAGGACAATGCAGCAAAAAGTAAAAGTTCTTTAAAGTACAACTCTTCTTTCACAGTGGGATCCACGTTCCTTTTATTTAAGGCTTCCCGATCTTTCCACCTTGTCTACTATACCAGACTAACTATTATTATTCATGCGAAGACAATGCTTATCTTTCAAATTTTTCCCTAGTTTTAAAAGGACAACATAATAATGAATTCAGACATGTTTCCATGCATGCAAAAAACATGCATGCTAAACAATTAGGACAACAGGACATCCCTTGACAGGTAGAAGGATATCCACTGAATTCTCCAATAAAGTTCTAGATAAAGCTATTATTTTGATAAAGGTAAATCTTATCAGACTTCAAGGCATGAATCAAAAATTCCATCAAATCCAATTTAAAAAAAGGAGTAAAAAAAATCATAGCGCCAAACAACATGAGAAAACTGTTAAGTTTTAAACTCTGCACAATTTAGCTAAGGTAAAAACAGTAATAAAAGTAGCCCTTTTAATGGCTGCCTAGCTTTCATACATAGGAGTAATTCCCATCTCTGGCTTCCTTGCAAATGTCCTTAGAAAAATCTTAACTAATCACATCTGATCATATGGATACACACTGATTAAAATGTACCACATACGATTTACTCTTCCCCCATAACAACTCCTCAGATGTTGTTATCCAGCACCTCACCCATTATTTTTATTATAAACTAATGAACTCATATGTATGACAATTTCAAAACCACAAAAACATCAGAAGGAATGGGCACAGATACGTAAATGAAGAGACTGCTAGAAGTGGGTAAGTAATTTGGCAGACTGTAGGAGAAGACACACAGTTCAAGCAAGGCTGCAGAGAACTGACAGGACAAACAGAATTTATCCTGCAAAAACTAATCCTCAGTGGAAATCGCAAAATGATGGTGCAAAATAGAATTTAAAAAAAGAACAACCCAAACATTTAAGCAAAAGCTGCCAGGACCACACACTGCATCCTGTTGCCTTAAGAAATTGTGATGCAGAACATAATACACCCTTCCAGCAGAAAGTTTCTGCGCCTAACTGATATGGCACAGAAACTAACTGGAAAAACTGGACAGTCTCTTCACAACGCTGCCTCTGCCTGCTCTGTGTCACAGAACAAGCCACCTAAACTGCGCCTACATTTACAGAGCACACTGCTACTGCAACTCACCAGCTTCACAGAAATGTTGTCCAACTTGGGAGAATCTTGCTTGGGAAGAGGTAGAAGATTTCAAAATATTATGACTCACCTACTCTTTAAAAGCTAAACTGACAAATATGCTTGCAACTCCCACACCACGTTTTCTGGAGCTGCCTTATTTAAGAGCTGTCTGCATATGCAACAAAACTATAATGCCAGTTGTATTTTATTTACCTTTAAAATCACATTCAGACAAAACCATATAAACTACACTAGGATCCAGATCAGAAAACATTTCTGACATGCTGTTGAAGAGCTCTTCCTTATTGACACTGTACATCGCTTGTGATTCTGAAGGTCTTGGGTCCCCTTGATGGAATACAGCAACAGGAGTTCTGTCAAAATTCCCATTTCTCCTAGAGGGACTCCCACCAGTTTTCCTTTTCCGTGGCATTTTGTTTTCCAAAATAAGCTTGTTTTTGTTTTATTTTGTCCACCTGCGTTTGACAGTACCAAGCTCAGAAATCGCAAGAAACCTGTCCTAACCAGGAAGGGCACATCACAAATGGCAGACCTAGAAGGAAGAGAATGGAGAATTTTTTAGAAGATACACAGTCACATTTCCACATGTCTGCTCTTAAGATAGCTAAAAGATCAAAAAAATCCATAAGTATCCAGAAAAGCATTTTGTAGGAGGTTGCTTTCTTCTTTTGAATGGCTGGTAACAAAATAGCAGGCTTATTTTCCACCTAGCTTGATATTCAATCTATGTCTGGAAAGTAAAACAAATAAAATTGAGTTTTAAAAGTCCAGAAAAGTGAAGGAAGTGATACAAGGCAGATATTTCAAAATATTTCTCTGTTAATACCTACTGATGATGAGCTAACATTACAGAAAAGTTATTTTCTGTTAAAAATTCAGAACCTTTGCTCCTCTTACAGAAGTATGGGAAAACATAATAAACATCTCCAGAGCATCTAGAAGTCCTCTAAAACATGACTGTTTTTTTCCATTCCTGATATTTCAAAGTAAACAATTGAAGTTGTTCAGTGTTCAAAAACTGGTACAGATTGCCCAGAGGTTCTGGAGTCACTGTTGGAGATATTCAAACCCCAACTGGACGCGGTTCTCTAGATGAGCCCACTCTGAGTAGCAGGTTAGACTAAGTGATCTCCAGAACCACCTTCCAGTCTCAACGATTCTGTGATTCTTGGGGTTTAGTTGTTGAAAACACTTCAGATGTTGAAGCGAGAATCATGAAGTGAGAAGAGGCTTCTGCCCTCCTCCCCCACTTCTTCCATAAAACCTTTGAATACTCTTAAGTTAAAAAATCATGGCATCTAAAATCACTGCAATTATTACACCACTTCCGCATAGAAAAGGAAAGCAATTACTTATTGAAGTATAAGCAAACAGTATGATTTCAGTTTTTTCTTCATATTAAATAAAGTCAGAGCTCTATTGTGTTCTAGTGAAGCTCATAATACTAAACTTAAAATTATTAAGTTTTACAAAGAACTATTCAGTAGACTAACAAACTTTGGTAAATATGAGACTCTATAGTCTGAATTACAGTGAAGACTCGCTGTCTGATAATAACAATTACTGAGCAGGACATAAAACGCCTCCTTCCATATAGTTTATTTTGACAGTGATGAACAATTTAACATGTACAGGAAAAAAAAAAAAAAATCAATGGCAGCACTAAGCAGTTCTTTCCTCCCTGAATCACTGGCACACAAATGGCAATGCCAGATCAGTGCGAGATTCTGATAGCACTTCCCCACTCTTCTCTAGCAATCTCTTCCAATAACTATAAGAAGTATCATTTACAAACAGATGGACTCATACTCCCAAGTCATAACTTTTTTTTTTTTCCTTAAGAAAAACAGACAACTCCAGGATCTGTTTCTACCGTGTGTGTTTGGACCTTAGGTGGATGAGACATGTCAAACAATGAAGAGGTCAAGGAAGAATGAAATACATGACAGAAGGTAAACAATGCACAGGAAAAGGAAGAGAGAGACTTCCAAAAATAAGGACATACAACCATGGAAAATGCTGGCTAGCCAGATTGAGCTGCGACAACTGTAGCTATGTTTTCTAATTATACTTTTTTAGGTTAATCTCTGATTAGCCAACCTTCGATTATCTGATTGAAAGTCAGCATGTTTACTTGTAGAACACCAGTCTAGGAAACAAAAAATATTTAAGCAAAACAATAAAAAAAGAGAGAGAGAGACAAGAGAGAGAAACAAAGTTACAGCAAGTCATGGATTTCAAACTTGTATTCTTATTTGATTCATTCTCCAGCCTGTAAAACAGGTTGAGACATAACTAACTTCAAGTAAAACGTGTCAGAGCTTAAAAATGTGACTGTTCTTCACTATAACAAACAGGTTCAATGACAGAGGAAAGATCCTGCAAGGCAGAAGCTATTCACACACCTTGATATTACTAAACAGCAAGAGATTTTAACCAGAACATTCCAAGTGTTGCTAACATTTCCATCCAAGTCCCTTATAATAAAATCAATCCTTTAAGGAACTGCTGCTAAGAGACATGCTCTTTAACTAGGTCTTTTAATAACCTATTTTCTTACTTTGCTGCGGTATCTTCCTTTCCCAGGTACTACATACATTGGACTATATAACCCATTACATATTAAGATGCTTTACACTAACAAACTAACAAAAAACACACACTTAAGTCTGCATAACACACACTTAAGTCTGCATGAATCTAAATCAACACATAGCATTGCTTCAGTATTATCGAGGCCTAAACCGTTTATTGCAGTTAATGCCACTATACCCACTACCACTTTTCTCATCCTCGTATGCCATTGCAACACCACCAACACTTTATTTTTTTTACTATTAACATGCTACAAAGAATATTGTGTTTTATAGGAAAAGATTTTGCTTATATTAGCAATGATCATAACTCTTGTTTTCAAGCTAAGCTTCTGTTGAAGTAATCCTAAAACCTAAAAATCTTGTCAATGCGTTACTACAAATCTTTGATATCATTAGAGAGAAATAAGGAAAATATAATAGAAAAATTCACAGTAAAAAAGTAAAGCTTTTTAATTTAACAGAATTTTAAAAATCTAATAAAAGCAAATTTTAAGTGTTAGACTTCTTGCTGATCCCAGATTTCTTAATCTTCTGTCCAACATATTACAGAGGAAAAGGCTGAAATAAACACGGAGATTTAGATCAAGTAGGTACTTAAGAAACAGATCCACATCTGTCTTTCCTCCCTGCTTTACTTAAAATGTAACCTCTGGTTTTCTGAAACCAACTTTTCCTTCTACAGATTAAGAAATTCTTCAAAACATATTTTATTACTTTTCTCTTTAGTTCAGAAAACAAAATATTCTTAAACTTGCAATTATTTGCGATAGAATATATTTTATTGCAAGTTTACTGATCTGTTCAGAACTTTTCATTTATTTTCTTGGACAGCTATTTCTGAACTGAAGCTTGTTTTGCCCCTAATAAAAGAACAGGTATCAAAATGAAAATGTGCTTTTCGTAATCTTGAAAAAATTAAGTTCTTTGACTCATTGTCTGGATAATTTTGAAAAACTCCTAGATTTTGCAAAGAAATTCGTAGACTACAAAGCAGCCAGAAGTAAACAATTCAGTGAAGACTTAACAGGCAGAAAAGACACTGGTCACCTCAGAATTTGCACATAGCTCAAAGCCTGGTGACTTGCACTGCGTCCAGATGTACTAGATCAAAGCACAAATCAACACTATCCCATTACTCAATCTTGCAAGTCTTAGCAAAATTCTATAAATTCTTAAACCTACCAAAACGACAGATCAACATTGCCATGATTTCTTTTTAAATAAGGTATTTACCATGGCCAATATTGCAGACAGATATTCTGACAGAAGCTCCTTTGTTTACTACCATATCGTCAGTGTAATTCCTAGGTAATATCTCTGTAGCTATTACCAAGCACAATGAAAGTATACAAAAATAGAAGCCTGTGACCATATAAAGCACACGGTACTCTTATTACACTCTCAAATTATACTACATAAGAGATAATGCTAATATACTCAACTGAAAGGAAAAATTATTCACTTGCTTTTTTTAAGAGCGTGTCCTGAACTTTAAAGAGAACATTAACTAGGGGCTTGTATTTTCAGATATTCAAATTTCTCTTTTGGAAAATTGGTTTACTAAGAAAACAGAAATAATTTTCTATAATCTAAGAGTCAAGACTCTTAGACTGCTTCAACAGTCAAACTTGCAGGTCAGTCACATTTGCAGGTTCTGAGTAATATAATATAAGTCAGTTTGCAGTTAGCTACAGAGGAGATTTTTTTCCAAGATTAAAAGGGAGTTGTAATACCATAATGATTTAGAAGAGCAAGCAGGGCTATGCTGAACACAGTGAAATGGAATTCTAGACAATTAGCCAGAGGCTGCAATATATTCGGAGATTCACTAGTCAATTCTGGGTACCTCCGTTCTACACACACCCAATTAAAGCAAACAGCTGTTTCATCTCAGCACTGATGAAAAGCAATACTCCTGTGAGTGCTCTCAACTTCACCTTTAAAAAAACAACAAAAAAATTAACAAAAAAAAACCACAAGCATCTCCCTCTCTTCCTCAAAACTACACATCTCCTGATGTTAAGGATCTTCTCCCAATATAGTTCAGCTGCTAAAAGTAAGCATATATACAAAAATCTACTTGCATGAAAATTACCTTCTTAATCAAGCAATCTGAAGTATAAAAGAGATACTAAGAGACTGGCATCCTCTATAAAATGACTTTCAAATTTTAACAACCTGGAAAAGAAAAAGTAGAAGACTTATCAGCTCAGGATGCTTTAACATCAGCAAACATTCTAGGTGGCCAGATTTTGTTTTTTTAGGAGTAGATTATGAGCTTAAGATATTGCCCGCTTCAGCCTTGCTACCCCTAAGGAGCTGGACGGACAAAGCACAGACATTGTCATGCATGGAAACATATAGCCAGGGATCAGCAGCCATTATAGGCAAGCCAATCACTACACAAACAGACAAACATCAATCTAATTAACCCAACACAACACCTTTTTCTCTTCTGTTTCATAGACAGAACAATAAAGCATAGAGAAGTGACCTGCCTCACACAGCAAAGGGATGGACAAAAAGCTCAAGTTTCTATCCCAGCATCTTACTAACCACATTCAGCTTTCCCTTCCAGTGAAGAGGAAAACAAGTTTCAAAAACTAGGTTTTAGATTGTGTCCATACTTCACTAGGAGGAGAAAAAAAAAAAAAAGGGACCAATGTTGTTAATAAGTTAATAAATGCAAAGTGTCTGTCAATTACACATAAGAGGAAAAATATCTAACCTTTTTTCACCTCCATTTTTTGCACTCTGATTTTTAAATTGATAACCTAATTGACTGCACATTATAGTCTGGGGGAAAGTACATAAGAAAATTCTCCCATAA